AGAGGGAGCTCTGCTCAGCCACAAGCCAGGCTGATGGCTGCCAGCACAGAGGTGGTGGTGGGAGCCTCTCCCGCCTCCTCAGCATCACTAAGGATGTCTGGCTGCAGCTTAGGCCTGCTCCCCGCTGGCAAGTGGACATCCCCCAAGGGCTCCTGGGCTGCCAGATGGATGTCTGACTGCCAGCTTAGGCCTAATCCCCCAGGGAGCAGGTCTAAGCCAGCATGTGGACATCCTCCAAGGGGTTCCAGACTGTGAGAGGGCTCAGGCCGGGCTAAGGGACTCCCCCCCAGTTCACAAATTTTTGTGCACTGGGCCTCTAGTGTCATCATATTCACAGGTTCTACCCACACTCAAAAGGGAGGGGATTACAGAAGGGCAAGGAATATTTCTGTCATAGAATTCTGCCTACCACAGACCACCCATCTTTTGCTCTTCTGAAATGCTACCTTTGTCAAAGATCTGTAAAGATGTGTGCTTCCAATGATTTATCTGTAAAAAATTGTGCTTGTAATCCTTACATCATAAAAACATCCATTGGGTACAATTGCACACGTTACCTGCTGTGGTGCCTGACATTGGGCCATCATCCTGCTAACACTGGCTAATGAGAGAACCAGGTGAGGTGAGCACAGGTGCTTTTGTAAGACGTGCTCTTGTTTCCAGAGACATGCACCTTGCCTGCCTCACACGCCTGTCTGAGCCTCCCTTGTCCCATCAGGGAGCACTTGCTAAAAGAAGAGGGGGGGCGGGTGGGAATTTACTGAAATTAATTTGACAGTTGTTTTGTCCAGTCTGTTTTAAGTGTTTGGCTTTCTTTTTTTTTTTTTTTTAATGTAGCTAATGTTGCCTACCTTGGGGGCCAGGAAATGATGGAGGTGGTGAAGAGAGACAACGAAACCATAAAGGAGCACTTACCTAAGGTAATCACTTTAGTACTGTAATGAAGTACGTCAATGGGCAGAAATACTTACTGAAGATGAGAGACTGAAATTGGTTCAGATCTCTGTAATGCCTCAAGGGTTAGATCCAGATAGAGTTCTATGTCTAGTTAAAATTAATGTTCTCGCCAGCACCGGTTTGGCTCAGTGGATAGAGCGTCAGCCTGCGGACTGAAGGGTCCCAGGTTTGATTCCGGTCAGGGGCATGTACCTTGGTTGCGGGCACATCCCCAGTGGGACATGTGTGGGAGGCAGCTGATCGATGTTTCTCTCTCATCGATGTTTCTAACTCTCTATCCCTCTCCCTTCCTCTCTGTAAAAAAATCAATAAAATATATTTAAAAAATTAATGTTCTCCTTGAATGTTGCATAGAAAGTAAGTGACGCTGATTGCACAATTAAGTATATTTTGACACTATTTTTGTTGGGTTTATTTTTAGAATCCATACTCCTCCCTAGGGCCTTGTCCTGAGAAGATTCTCAGTAATACTTACAGAGTAAATGAGTTATGTTAAAATGTCAGGAAAACATTGGAAGACAACTAACATTACTACAACCCAATGACTCAGTGAGCCTGTCTTTCTTACTCTCCAATGCATTAGAGTAGGAGTGTCCTGCTGACACCAAGACCAGTTTCCTATACAAGCAGGTACAGAAAGGCAAGGATGGAAACATCGAGCCTTTGTGAGTTTCCACAGCAAATACTAGAAGCTCACACAGACATTTGGAAGCACCAACCTCTGAATCTGTGAGGTCTAAGCACCCTAGCCGGTAGGTGGCTCTGGTACTCCCGTGGCATCATTTGTCTGTCTGTCCATCCTGAATAGGGTAGAGCTGCACTGTCCATCCATGTGTGGTTATTGTGGATAGTCTGAATTGAGATGCACCGAGCCTGTGAAATTCACCTTGGATTTCAGAAACTTAGTACCAAAAAAAGTAAAATATTTCATCAATATTTTTATATTGATTACATGTTGCAATGATATGTTACGATCTGTTGGGTTAAGTAAAACATATTACTGAAAATAATTTTACCCATTCCTTTGTACTTTTTTTTAATGTAGCTACTATAAATGTTTAAGTTCTGCGTATGCCTTTATCTTTGTGTTGGACTCTCTAACTTGGAGGTTGGGGGTTAGTGCTGAGCTGGTACAGAGCCATCTTACAGGCCCAGGAGCCTACTGTCTGCAAGGGAAACCTACTGGGTTTATAGTCCCCTCATAAACTTTGAGACATTTGACTTAAACTGGCCTACAGTGTTAATTCACATTTCTATTACTTCCCAATACAGTTACCTTAAAGCAAGAAGTGTATACGTTCTTTAAAAAACAGTTTCACTCCCAGCCAGTGTGGCTCAGTGATTGAACCGGGAGGTCATGGTTCAATTTCTGGTCAGGGCACATGCCCACATTGCAAGCTTGATCCCCCAGTAGGGGGTGTGCAAGAGGCAGCCAATCAGTGATTCTCTCTCATCATTGATGTTTCTATCTCTCTCTCCCTCTGCCTTCCTCTCTCTGAAATCAATAAAAACACTTTAAAAAATTATTTTTCACAATATTGACCTGTGATAGCATCACCCAGAGAGGACTTTTGAAATGCCAGTTTGTGTTTGTCTTTGGCCATGGTGGTCATCATATTTCTCGAATAGCAGTTGCATAGAGATTGAAATTTTGGATCCAGAAGGAAACCCCCACAAGCTGAACGGGGAGGCTGGGGCCTCAGAAGGACCTGTCTCCAGGGCTTTCAATTTGTTTTCAGCCGTTGAAGGATGTGAAACTACAAGAAAAGCAGGATTTTGTTTTGCCATTAAATTATAAATGAATTTGTTTCAGAAATGCATTTAAGTTCTCAAGGCTGGAAGTTCATAAAAACAACTCAACTCCCAGTTAATAATAAGACTGGCAGATGCTCGCTTCCAAATCTCACACTTGCTGACTGACTCGACCCTCGTGAGTCCAAGCCCATCCTGCCACCTGTGGGAGCCAGCTGCTGTAAAATACTCATCGTTCCTGGATTCCCTTTGTATGCTGTGCTCAGAAAGAGGTCAAAGGCAGGTGCTAACTTATTCCTGCCCTAAGTTAAATCCATATGCAGGCGTAATCATTCCCAGATAGAGGCCTGCTTGTGGTAACTGCGTGTCAGGACTGTAAGTTTACTGAAACTTTTCATGGGAGAAACATGGGGATAGAATGCTAGATGGCAGGCGTTTCAAGGTCAACATTAACAGTCAGTCATGAAATAAACTTTCCCAGCTACAGGACTGGCTTTGTTTTGGTTTTAAGATAGCGTTAAATGTACTGGTGGAATTTGGGGAAGCGGGGCATTGGTTTGTTTAATGGGGCAAAACTGCCTCGCAATTCATTGATTAGCCTTCGTAACAGCGAAGTTCCAATTCCTAAGTGAAACAAGGTACAGAAACAGGAACTTTTTGTTTCTGTAATGAAAAAGAGAGGAAGCATGCTGTAACTGAATCCTGGGGAAAGTGGAGTCGGCTCACGTCCCCATCTGCTTGAGAAAACAAGGAAATGCAAAAGGGCGTATAGATCTAGGAAGATAGTGGGCGTTGGCTCCGCCTTCCCAACCACCTTGACAGTGAGTCACACTGAGAACCACTTCCCAGGACTAGACAGGTCCCTAGTCTAGGTGTTCCACTCAGGATGCTCTGTCCCACCGCAGCCCAAACGTGACCGTTCAGAAACCTCACACATGCCTAGGACTGCCCAGCGGGAAGGCTTGGAGCCACACATTTTATTGCAAAAATCATTCACTATATCTCATTTATTCGGTGTTCAACATAATTCTGAAAAATACATCCTTGTGCCATTCCGTTAGGAAGTCCCAGGAAAGTTCGCCTAAAAATAGTCTCTCTACTGCATTGTGTGGATGGCTTTTGAGTCCCTGCAGCCCCACCACAAAACTATCAGACCATCAGTATGCTTTGGTTCCAAGTTCAGATTTCTGCCTCTGGGCTTTCATTGTCCACACGAAGAGGACTTTTTGTCGTCTTGAGAAAAATTGGCCTTTTAACTCTACTGGGCTGGTTGTCTTCCTTTCTCCCTCCCTCTCTCCCTTCCTGTCTTCCTTCACTCCTTCCTTCCTTCTTTCCTTCCTTCCTTCCTTCCTTCCTTCCTTCCATCTTCCTTCCTTCCCTCCTGTCTGGGTCTTGAGATTGATATACAGTATCGAACCTCCTCCTTGCAGCGCTTCAGCATTCCATGAAGTTACCTCCCTTTCCTGGAGCAAGCATTTCAGACCCACATTGTTTCCAGGAGAGTTTACTTGTGGCCTGTGACATGGTGGTTGTGTTCTTTCTCACCTAAGCCCGACCGGTCCTTTATTAAATATATATTCCATTGTCATCTCCAAGAGGCCTTCCCCGGGCTCTGGTTTCGGTTAGATGTCCCTCCCTTGGTCCCCATGGCTCCCTCTGTCAAGTTCTGGTGTGGCATTCATCACACGGTATTTAAGTGGTCTGCCTTCCCCTCTCGCCCACCTTGAGGGAAGGAGCTGTGTTTACTCATCTCAGTATCCCTAGAGCCTGGCACAGTGAGTGATACCTGGTGAGCAGTCGATACATGTACCCTAGTGGGTGGACGGGGAAGCCACGAGAGCTTAGCTTCCAAGCCTTTACTGTGCCATGAGTCTCTTTGGCTCTTGTGATGGTCCCCTTCTTTGAATAATATTATTGCGTGCATAAAATAAATGTATGAGATTACAAAGAAATTATATTGTAGTTATCAAAATAGCCTAAAACGAATATGTGAGATATATATATATATATATATATATCTCATATGTACATCTTTATTAACACATTACATAATGAGATACAATAGCAGTCAAAATTACTATGGTAAATTTGTACTAATGAGTATAAGTTACTTTCTGTTATCTACAGTGAGTTTATTGTCATTTGAAAATTTTATAGGTGACAAAATATAGGTATTACTAATACTACTGTGGTTTGTTGCCTATATTCATAATTGAAGGAAATACTAAATTATGGTTATAGGTTAGCAAAAATAAAGATGTAATCTTTTTTCCATCCAAGTTTACATTGCATGTGCCCGCACAAACACACACACACACACACATACACATACACACACACTTCGCCACCACTTCTAGCCATTGACCGGCATGGACCTAAAGACCTGTAGAATCAAAGGCACTTAGTGTTAATGGGATATGAGAATGGCAACAGAGGAGTCGATGGTTATTTCTCTGTATTAGATCTGGTGACAAGATAGGGAATATGGGGGGAGAAGCAAGTTGTGGGAGATGGTTGATAAAGTGGCCATTTGGGCACTTCTGTTGTCACGTGGACATTCTGGCAGGTAGCTGGACATGTGGGTAGCTTGGAAGAGTGGCCTGGGCTGGGTTTGACTTGGGGGTGATGAGGATATATCGGAAGCCTGAGCATGGGCCATGGTGACCTAAGGAAGTCGGTGGTACAGGGAGAGGATAGTCTAAAGCCTGCTCTGGGGGAACAGAGCTTGAAGGTTGGGAGGAGGGAGAAGAGCTCTTGAATAAGGCGGAAGTGGTGGGGGAGGGACAGGAATGAGAACCAGGATGGAATAAACCAGAGTAAGAGAGTCACCTGTACATTTTCGCCACCCGGCCCCGATTCTTCTGGGAGCCTCTGGGGTATGCTCCGCTTTATGAGGCACCTGGCGTGTCTGAGGCAAGTGGGAGGTCAGCGTTCCTGGGCTCTGTCATTGTTCTGAGCTGTAAGGGATGTGTGTCTCATTCCTAGGGAAGTGAATTTGTGTTTGATTTAGAAACTTGAAGTTTTCATTTAAAACTCACTTAGGAGGGAAATTCTACACTGCGTGACCACGTTTGGCCTAGGCCTATGGAAACAGCTGTGTGCGCTACCGCCAGACTGAACCTGAGCGTCGCTGTCGGTCCACAGGGCCCTGGAGCTGCTCCCAGCCAAGACATGGGACACAGCTTTCTGCTGAAGGTGGGCAGCGCTGGCAGGGTTGCCTGCAGAGTGGTGCTGCCCCGGCCCCCAGAGGGCCAGGCCAGGGTGACAGCATGGTGTGGGGAAGGGGCAGGGTGTGCCCAGCAACAGGCATGCCTCCGCGTGGCTCTCTCCTGACGCTGCTCAGCCCACCTGAGCCCAGAGGTGCATGTTGTCTTGGGAACAAACCTCTGCAGTGTTTGCAGATCTGAGCATGCAAATCCTTCGGACATGCGCAGGTCCTGCTCAGTGGAGCGTAAGGAGCGCGCCCAGGACCAGCTCACCAGGACTGCCTTGCCGCCAGGCCTCGCTCTGAAACCGATTGTGTTAGTTCTGCCTGTTTAATGTGAAGCCTGTTCCAAATGTCAGAATCATCCTGGAAATATCTGAGTCACTTTGACCTTGAGAGCTTCGTCGTGGCACTTATGTTAGCCTACCCAAGAGTTCTATGGTGGAGCGTGATTGGGGGGGTGGGGGTGGGGGGCGTGCTGTATACTGGGGAACAGAGTCCTGAGTGCCACAGCCTGAGCTTTAGGCTCCATCTCTGCCACTTGCTACTTAGATGACCTTGGGTAAGTTACTGTGCCTCCTTTTGTCAACAGTGAAATGGTTTGATTTCATTAAACCATGCAGCTGTTCCAAAAATATCACGCCATCACTCATATACATATGGTGCTGGAGTATGTGGCATGTACTAAGCATTCAGTAGGAGATGATTATGTCTGACTTCTGCATTTCAACCACTTAGCCACCACCAGATGGAGATAAGTCTAGAGTTGTTGGTGACTCTGTCAGTTTCAGGAGCAAAAAGTGAAAAGAAAAAGAAAATAGAACACGAGGAACAGCAGATGCGGGTTCTGTGTGGTGGCGGCTGCAGCAGTTTGCAGGGGCCGTTTAGCAGGGCCATGTCCCCACAGGGGCAGCCTGGGGAGTGAAAGGAAGATAAATAACGGGGTGAGCACAGAGACCAGAGTAGCCCTAATCCCACCTCTTGCCGAAAGCGCACGAGGAAAGCAAATCACCTCCCGGGAATCCCAGTCTCGGACTGGGAAAATTAAACTGTGTGTTTTAATAGAGAAATGGATTACTGAATATGACAGCACTTTGGGAGCACAGTAATTTCCATCTCAGTAATGTGTGACTTTTATCAGTTCCCATGCATATCAAAGCAAGTGCCAGGGAGAAGTAACCTACGGGAAATCACTTTTCTTATCAGCCTCTGAATGTAGACATTCTGCTGATCGCCTGAGATTCTTCGTTAACATTTCCAGTATCTCACAGCGTTCTTTGCCTCGTGGCAGGCAGCTCCCAGAACTACACAGACCTACGGAGACGTTAAGTAAAGGCAGTCGCATTTGTGCCATCGTCGATGGTCGGTTTCCACATCTGGTGTCAGACCTCCTGGGCTTCAGGTTTTGTGTTTTAATGACATTGATCAGCGCGTTGTTGATTGTAAGCAGTAGTGAAAGGTGCTGATCAGGGATGCTGTCTCTGGATTTATGTAGCCCAGCTTTACAACTCACTGTTTCAATGTAAGCAAATTGGTCTCTCTGAGCCTCAGTTTCCTTGTACGTAAAATACCTTCCCCAAATATTAAAATAATATTATAATTAGGACTCAGTGAGTGCAGAGCTGAGCATAGAGCCTGGCACATTGCTCTCAGTTTCCATCAGTTCATCCTTATCTGTTGTGACGTGTTTTTACATGTTGACATCCTAATAGTGTACGCTTTTAACCACCGTGCTTTGATGTCCAGTTCTCTTTCTCCTTCACCTGTCCTCCTTTCCCCTACTACCTCCATACACCCCATGCTTTTTTAGTTTCCTGTTTAGGATTACAGATGCAGAGTCCACTGTTCAGATCAATTGCCTGTGACTAATAATCTATAGGGAACAGGAAGTATCTTGAGCCAGTATATGTAAAGACATTAGAAGTAACCATGTGTTGTTACTTGGAAGCCAAGATTTTCATAGCGAGCCCTTCAGTCACTGTGGCCCTAAGAAGAATTTGAAAAACAAAAAGACATCACCCCATCGGACTTAGAGATTTAACCAAATACACTCTCAGTGGTTACTGGTCAAGGAGGATCGAGAGAGAAAATCAGAGGCACACTTGGCAATCTAGACTCCTCCATCAACTTGGGCATCAAGTTCCTTGTGCCTGCCGTGGGCCGTGTGCACCCCATAACAACTTGGACATGACTGGTCTCTTGATCCCAAAGGTATCCCACACAGTAATCCATGTGTTACTCGTGCTCACCTGGCTGACTCCTTCACACACGGGGAAGGTGTAGCATCTCCCAGTGCTGAGGCTTACCAAACTGGACCTCCCATTGGACATGTTTCAAGTAGTAGTTAGGCCATCAGAGAAAGACAAGTACCATGTGATTTTACTCATATGTGGACTCTAATGAACAAAATAAACTAGCAAACAATAGAAATAATTACAGAGAACACACTGACCACTCTCAGAGGGGAGTGGGTATCGGGGGCTGGGTGAAAAACGTGAAGGGATTAAGGGGGAAACCTCATAGGCAGACGACAATATGGTGATTACCAGAGGGCCCTTCCAGTGGAGGGAGGTAGGAGAGGGTAAGTGGGTATAAATGGTGATGGAAGGAGACTTGACTTGGGGTGGTGAGCACATAATACAATATACAGATGATGTATTATAGAATTGTACCCCCTGAAACCTATATAATTTTATTAACCAATGTCACTCCAATAAATTCCTTAGCACAATACAGAAGTTCATGACCCTGTCTCTCTCTGCCTTGCTGGTCTTATCTCCACCATCCTACATTCCAGCCATATGTAGTAACTTCCAATTCCCAAGCATGCCATGCTCCCTCAGACTCTACTTTGCTTGCTTTGCTTGCCTGCTCCCCACAGTGTGCTCCCCCAACTTGAAGACTCAACTCAGGCATCAACTCTCTGGGGAACCTTTTCCTAGCCACTGCTTCCTGCCAGCATCCCTCATCCGGGCTCTGAGGCTTCCCCCACCAGAAACTGCGTCTTATTATCTGTTTCCCAGGTTCCTAATACAGCGCGGATGCTCATTAAGTATTTGCTGAACAGATTAATGAATAAGGGTTTGAGTGAGGGAATTTGATATATTACGGAAACTACAAGTGGGTGTGACTGGCCACTTAAGGGCTGGAGCCAGCCATAACTGGTTTTGTTTTTGTTTTTTTTTTGGTGACAACAGATGCATAGGGTCCTTAAAACTTAGTTCTTTTTTTTGGTATAGATGTCCACTATGTGCCATTCTGAATAAGATATCACTTTTGTTGCCTTTTTGTTTTAGAAATGCAGAACTAGAACTTAGTTTTTAGTGAAGAACAGCCTAAAGCTAGACACATATGTATGTATTTGTTATAAGTGTATGTGTGCATAAATATACATGTTTACATATGTACTTATATATACACCTATATGTGTGCACAAAGCCATACACATGTACACATGCATATGTACATATATACACATTTGTATGTGTGTACAAACATATACGTGTGTATGTGTGTCATGGGCAGATATAGATCAATCTTAGTAATGCCTCACAAGAGGTTCTGTCTCCATCCAGCCTGCTCGCTGTCACCAAAGTATGATTATAACACCTCCCCACCGAATCAACATACACTCCTCCCATCCGAGCCTATTTGTGGAAATGTCACAGACACGCTTGGGGTTCTGGTCACATTTCACCTGCCTCATGGAGAAGGCTGAGTCTGTCTGATTGATCTTTGCATGCATCCAACAAACATGTCCCATGTGCCTACCATGTGGCTGTATGGAAACTATTAAGTGTGTGATGTATGGTCACTAGTCACTCGGCAGTGATTTTGTCTCGATAACTCTTCGCGCTCTCTCTGCCATCTCCAGTGGCCAGCCCAGCCTCCACATACACAACTTTGCTGGCGAGCCCTTTCCATGACTCGTGGGTGGTCTGTCACACAAGGCTCTCCCTACATGGGTTCCTTCCCATCAGATGCCTTTTAATTCACTCCCACAGCCGTGAAGGCTCACAGCCTTGAGAGAGCTACTCTCTGGAGGCGGCCTTGGGACCGGCTCCCAGGGCCAGGCACGGGGGCTGGCAAAGCAGGCTGCTTGCCAGTTGCTGGTGTCATATCTGTGCTGGGAGGGGATAGCGTTTTTCTAATCCATGTTTTTGTCTTGTCTTTTAGCTTACATTTTACTATGGAACTATAGATGCTTGGTGTCCAACAAAGTACTATGAAGACATAAAGAAAGATTTCCCTGAAGGAGATATTCGGCTCTGTGAGAAAAAAATAGCTCATGCTTTCATCCTCCGTTCATACCAGGAAATGGCTGACATGGTCGCGGACTGGCTGAAGGATGACCTGTCCAAAGTGGACATCGCAACATAAGGAAGCAAAGACTAACAGCTGGTGCCTAGGGGCCATGGTGTACTGACTTTCAGTAGTAACTAGTAGACTCCGTAGGTCATTGCTTAATTTCCGTGTTTGATTATGGAAGAGAGAAAAAAGTGAAACCCTCTTGGCTTAAAAACTACCCACTCTCAACGTTCCACGCTACTGGCTACAGTAAACACAGGTGACGAAATACTCCATAGGTTCAACCACATGTTTTCCGAGGCTCAGGAACACAGTGGCCTAAACAGGTCTCTGATGTTTGCCCAGGGCCGCCATGCAGCTTGTCTTGGTGGGCAGGACCCTTGCAGACCAGAGGAAGGCTAAATGCAGGGATTCTAATTGACGTACATTGTAGAGGAGGCTCTGCTAGGGGAGGTTAGGAAATGCCTACTAGGAAACGTAAGAGGTCAGGGAACGTCCAGTGTGCAGTGCATCCTGCTAGGGGACCTGAGTTTCCCTCAGGACAGAAGCTGAAGAGCAGCCCAAACTAACCTTGCCGGGGTCTTGCCGAGACCATCACTATCAGGCCAGGTACCAGGACAGCCTGCAGACCTTTGTCACAAATTGCTACATTAGCCTTTTGTCTGGCCACCAGGGCACAGCCCCACACAGAGCCAGCATCAGGGCAGGCACTGCCTGTGTCCGTCCGTCTCTGGGAAGCTTCCCTGAGGAGTGTGATTCCTGGTCCATGTGCATCCGCCAGAATAAAGTTTGCCAGGCATCCCCCTGCTCAACTCACCGGCTAAGGGGAAGGATCCTGGCTCTGCCTCCAGCCACACGACAGCCAGCCAGCTCCGTGCCGAGCCTGGGCCTGCCGGGCGGGGCACTCCTTTGCCGGCTCCTCTCCTCTAGAGCAAGGTTGGGGAGGCCCGACTGCCTCTCGTCAGCCCGGACCTCCCATCAGTTGTCCCTTCTGTGAATTCCTTCAGTGGAACTCCACTGAGGACCAAGCAGTGAGCCGGGTACTGGGCTAGGCACTGAGGAGAGTCTTAGCTGTATCATGATCCTTCTGACAACCTAGTAAGTGCTTTCCAAAAGGGCATCCTTAAATTGCTCAATAGAGCATAACCATAAATGATTGTTCCGTTCCCACATTAGCATATTAGTTGGGAAGAAGTTGTTTTACTAATGAACCAAAATTAGCCATTCAATTATGTAAATTTGCCTTCTCCAGACACCTTGAGGTCCAGGAGAGAAGCAGCTTGTTCTCTGGCCCAGGGTGGCTAACAGCATTGCTGCCTTCCCCCAAATCAACTCATCCTGGGCCAGGAGCCAACACCTCGCACTGAGTCTTGCGTCAGAAGCATTCGGTTTTCTCCGGGGGGAATCCCTCAGGCTTTGGACAATGTGGCGTTGGACTTCCCCTCAAAACCTGAAGCCCCCTGATGGCAGAGTCAGCCCTGATGTGCTGCCAGCCCCGTGGTGAGTGTTGGACAAGCTGCTAGCAGCCAGGGCCTCTGCGTCAGAGCAAATGACTTTTTGGACAAGAAGGATCCAAGTTCCAGGCAAGGAGTGCTCTTGGCTCCAAAGAGGAGCCGGGCACACACAGGCCACTGGCTCAGGCTGCACACTGCCTCCTCAGGGCATCTGCGTGGGGAGGCCTTCTAGACCAAGCATGTCAAACTCATGGCCCGTGGGCCACATGCCTCGTTTATTTGGCCCATGTTAGCCTTTGACTTTGACATGCTTGTTCTAGATTCTGGTGTTAGCAGCTGGGACTTGTGGCTCCAACGTGCCTGGCAGACAGGAGACGCTCAGTGGTATGAACTTGAGCCCTTAAGCAAGTCCTGGGAGAATCGTACCCACGGAAACGTAGACTAGCATCCCAACTTCTCTCAGTCACTATTCCACATGCCTCTGTGTTCCAAAAGCCCACGTGGATGAAATTGTATCTCATTTTGTTCTTCAGAACTTAAAAACTGGTTAAAAGTGAAATGATAAAGTAAAGTATTACTGGCTCTTATTTCCTGTTTATCGTCTAAGCACCAAATAACTTTTTGAAATAAATGCTTTACCAGCGCTCATGAGCTTGCTTGGCCCGGTGGCCATGTGCTGGGGGAGGAGGGGTACCAGCTGCACAGTTCTCTGAGGTAGACTCGGGTCAAAGTCTCCCTGTGAAGCCAAAAAACCTCTCTTCTCAGTATTTGTCTTAGAGAAGGAAGGATCAGATTTCAGGAGAATGAAGTTCATTTTATTTCATTAGGAATTAAACAAAAGACTACATGTTTCCATGCATAGGTAGGAGGGGATAAGGTAGGTGAACTCTGAGGCCTGGCCTTCGGTGTGATTTTTAGGCAACTTCATCTGGTTTCTCCCTAAGATAGGATTAATAGCAATGCCTGCCTCCGATTGTTGGAAGAATTAAAGAAGATGGCAGCATTAAAGCATTTAGCACAATGCCTGACCAAGAGTATCTAGATAAAGACTGGCAATAATAATAATAATAATGATAATGATAATAAATACTAATTGTCATGATAGTGAAAATAAAAGACTAATATTGATAAATGGTGGATAAAGTCTATTTTTCCAGAAGCATTTCTGCGTGTATGCCCCAGTCAGCCACATGGGTGGTCCTTGTCAAGATTTAACTTCGTTCAGGTTACCTAGTGCCCTCGGTTCTCAGTCTGCTCTGGGCCGTGGGAGGGGCTCTCCAAAGGCAGCCAGCCCCTGTAGCTCTCGTGGTCTCATGTCCAAGGTGGCCAGGGCCTTCGCCGTCTGCTCCCCCACTCAACCCCTGGACAGCCAGTGGCCTCCAAAGGCTTGATTCTTCTTTATCCTACATTGTATCAAAATCAAATTTATTTCCAGCCCTGGCTGGTGCGCTCAGTGGTTAGAGTGTCGGCCCACACACTGAAGGATCACCGGTTCAATTCCCGGTCAAGGGCACATACCTGGGTTGTGGATTTGCTTCCCGCCCCCTGGTCAAGGCGGTTGTGGAGGGCAGCCTGTCGATGTGTCCTTCTCACATTGATGTTTCTGTCTCTCACTCCCCCCTTCCCCATTCCTCCCTTCCACTCTCTCTGAAAAGCAATGGAAAAAAATACCCTCTGGTGAGGATTAACTAAAATAAAAAAAATTAATTCCAGATTAAAGGACACTAAGGAGACATGACAATATATAGCAACACCTGATTCTGGACCCGATGTTTTTATTACAAAACCATTGTTGAAACGGTTTGCACGACTCGAATGGGGTCTAAAGCTGACCTGGGAGGAAGGGATGTGCAGGGGTTGGGACGTGGAGAAGCAGGAGAAGGCCCTGTATGCTCCGAGATGCACTGGTCCGCTCACTCAGATGGCTCCGAGGGAAAACGTTCCCTGCATTTTACTAGCAACCTTTGTGTAAATTCCAGATGATTTTGAAATTTGTAAAAGTAATTACTTGAATAAAAGCAGGCTGTCTCTCCTTTTGTGTCTGTCTCTCATTGCTTCTTTTCCAGAAAGTGAATTTCTTCTAAGCAGTAAATGGAGACTGGACTTCAAATCCTGCTTCTGCCCTTTCATAGGCTTGTGATGTCCCATAGGCTTAGCCTCCCTGAACCTCCCCCAGTCCCCACCTCCACCCCCACCCGTCTCTTCATCTATGAAAGTACTTGCTTCAGTTTTTGGATTTTGGATTTGGGGAGGGTTTTGTTTGTTTTAAATGTGGGCAGAGGAGGTTGTGCATATGGCATCGAGCATCCTGTCTGACTTACGGTCGATGCTCTATAAAATGGTACCTAAAGGAAACTTGTTTTTCTTTCACTCTCTTCTCTTTGGTGCAGTGGAGGACCCCATGATAGCTGGGTTTCCGCAGTTTCACGCAGCCTGAAACTTCGTTCTTGCAGTCTTTGCGTCTCTGGTTCATTGTGCGGGGTGAGGGGAGAGAGAAGCTTGCTCACCTGGCTCAGCCTTCTGCCTGCCCCCCCCCCCACCCCCCGGCCATGCAGGCCTCCAGCACACACAGCCCAGGATGCTCCACCATCACCTCAGGGGCATACAGTCCACTTAGAAGAGGTGCGGGAAGCCAAGCATTTCTTAAGTAACAATAGACACCACCTTTGTTCCTGGCCTCTTGTACTTGGCTCCTCCTTCCCTTGGGGTGGGGTTTCAGGAGCCATCCAAGGCTGGAACTACCCACATGTGAAACTGTGCTCTGTGAGCAAATCCGTCTCTGAGGCCTTAAGGCTGAGGCCCTCCTGCAGGAGTCGGAGGTCAGAAGCTGTCCACTGCCTGTGCCCCACAGAGATGGTGAGTGATCTCATGGGTCCCGGTGAGGGGGGCCAGTGCGGGACATGGGTCTGTCCTCCACAGACGCGAGGCGTCCAGAGCAGGGCGGGTGAGGTCACAGAGGCTCTGGGTTGCCTGCCAGGGTTCTAAGAGCCAGCTCCTGAGGGATGGGGGCAGGCTGCTCCCAGTCCCAGAAGGACAGGGCGAACCTGGCGGGGTGTGGGGAAGGAAGAGCAAGGCCCCCACTTTCAGGGTGTCCCCTTTAGGCCTCACAGCCCTTCGAGATTATGGTTATACTCACTTCACAGGTGACCACACAGGTGCAAAGGTAAGTGACTTGCTCAAGATTGACAGCTGGGATGCAACGCAGGCCTCCACTCCAGAGCCGGCCTTCACCCCCTCCTTTCCACGGCCTCATGCTGCCTCCTGGAGGCAACCATGGGCAGCCTGGCAGGTATGGAGGGTTAGGAAGGGAGTCAGAGGAGGGGCAAAGGAGAGACAGGTCGGCACTGAAGTGAAGAGTAGGTGGTGGGATATAAGTGAGTAGTTTTAAAAGAAGGGAAGGTGTGACAACATAGACTGATGAAAAGGGACAGACCCAAAGACTGAGAAACAGCAATCAGGCTATCAATCCCCAGAAGGGAAGTAGGGGAGGGCGGGGGAAAGGGGAAGAGATGAACA